AGAGAGAGAGAGAGAGAGAGAGAGAGAGACAGACAGACAGAGACAGAGAGACAGAGACAGAGAGAGATAAAGAAAGAAAGAAAGGGAGAAAGAAAAAGCAAAAAAAACAACCAAATAACCCAATCAAACACAAACAAAACACACATAAAAAAAAACAGCGCACGAGGCACAGAAAACGGAATTCCCGAAGACGCGAAGAGGCCGGCCGAAATGAAAGCATCGAACCGTGAACGAAATGAACGAAATTTTCCAGACGAATTCGAAACTGCCGCTGCCTTGTGTTGATTTAGCTGATGAGTTTGACTAATGAAATGAAAATGAAACGAGCGCCATTTTAATATTGGATTAGTGTGGCTATTAATAGTATCACGGCTTCTTTCATTACTAAAAGCAGAATTATTATCGTAGTCAAAATTATTATTATCATTATTAAACTTTATTATTGTTTTTATTATCAGAAATATCATCATGGCATTACTGTTCTTATTATTAATAGGATGATCATCGCCATTATTCACCTTTTTGTTGATATATAATGATATCATCATCATCATTAAATTCATAATCAGTATTTTCTTCATTTCCATTATTTGTGATAACAATAATAACTAGAAGCACTCAGAGAGCGCATACCTCCGCCAAGGCAATAGGGTCACTGATGCAATAAAAATATTCACACGAAGAATCACAGTAAAATGGAATAGATTGGAATAATGGTAATAATAATAATGATAATAATAATATCAATAATAATTTAAAGGCCAAAAGTTTGAGTTTTCCTCATCTCACAATGCCAATGAATCCTTTAAAAGATAAGGATAATAGTAATAATTTTAATGATAATAATAGTAATAATAACAATAATAATATAAATGATGATAATCATCATTATTACTGTTACTATTGCTATCATTATCATCATAATTACTACTATTATTATCATTCATATCACCTTTACCATCATAATCATCATCATCATTAACATCCACCCCAATGTCCTCATCATCATCATCGTTATCTTTCCAGCGAGCATCATTATCGCCTTTTCCTCTTCCACGAAACCCGGAGATCGCGAGCTAATCCAATAGACACGGACACCGACAGAGAGCATGTGACAATTCTGACAGGCTTCTTGGTCGCCGTTCCGTCCCGATAACAGATGGCCGAGATCTTTCTGTTTTCTTCCGTTTGTCAATAAACAAATAAGAAAACGCACAAAAAAATAAATAATAAAAATGATAGATAAAGAAACAAAACAAGGATGAATGTTTTATTTCAAATCTCCTTTTTTATAATTTTGTTAAGGAGAACTACTCGAATACAGATCTCTATGGCCATGGAAGTTTGTACAGGACGTTAAGTAAGATAAATGTGAGTGTAAGTGAGTGTGCGCTTCCTGGTGTAAAACAATGTAAATATAACACTTGTTGTCATCGAATCAATAACCCAAACACCGGGTGCCAGAGGTAAATGTGTTCTGGTTGAATGAACAAGGAAAGGAGTTAGTGAGACTCGCGAATCAATAATAAATCAAGGGAGACGAAGATTGAAAAATGGACATTTCTGTTTCGTCTATGGGGGGAAAATAAAATGTTGAAATGTGGTGAGAAGTGGTGGCTTTCCACATGGATTTTTGTACTTCCATGTAGAAATGTGTTGAAGTGAAATGATGGCTTTACACACGCATTTTTTTTAGCTCTAATTAGAAATGTGTTGAAATAAAATGATGGCTTTACAAACGCATTTAATCATATTTTTGCTCTATGTAGAAATGTGTTGAAATGAAATGATGTTTTTTACACATGATCCATTTCGGAACAAAGAACAAGGCACGTGGACACCGAGGCAGGGCCATAAATTCACGCCAACATATTCACACGTGCAGTCAATATATACACATACCTCTGTTGAATAACCACAGCTCTAAATCCAGGTTAACATGGGACCTCCACCCCCTCCGAGACACACACAATATCCAGGATCACATACAATTGACATACCGCGAGAGTTGATGGAGAGGGGGTGAAAAAGGCCAGGATATTGGACTCGGGGAATGCAAGCAATATCCTGTGCTTTTTCACCCGACATTTTTTTCTCTCCTGCGAAATTATTCTCCGAGTTAGATGAAAGGAAAGGAGAGGGAACTTGGAAAAAAAACGTAAGAGAAAGAACGAAATAAAGAAAGGAATGATGGAAATAGCCAAGAATACTAAGAATAAAACGAAAGAAAGGAAAAGAAAAGACGAGGAGAAGATCAGCAGCGGCTAATGCTACTTCAAGGACCACCATGAAAATAGTTTGCACCGCTCGAGCTCGACTATTTTCACGGTCGAATCGTTACGTTCCTCTTTACGACGTATCTTCACGCGAGTTCCCATCGCTAATTTCTAATATCTTGACCGAACTGACTTCATGCCGGGTCAGGCTTGATGCTTGTCGATGAGGAAGCAAGGTCGAATTCCGTGATTAGGATTGGCAACAGGAAATGATTCTTTTTGGGAAAAAA